CCTCTTTAATTTTCCATCTCTTGTGTGGCATCTCATCCAGCTTCCCTGACAATTGTTCCCTTTGCTCTCTGTAATTTAGCACTCTGAGATTTCAGCTATCATTCAAGCTTCTTTACCTTTTCCTCCAATGCGGAAACCAGCTCCTATGATTTTCATTCATACATAGGTGCACTACACATGGCCTGTCTCAAAGCTTGCAATAAACCAATTTTTATACCAGTTACTTTTTCAGGATGTCACTTTCCTTCCTGGAACTTGTTAGGTTCAAGGAACTCTGTTTGCAGTCTCCTGTTCACATGTTGAATGTGAACTCCCACTGCGCTGATCTGTTGCTTAGGTTTACCTCAGCTACTGATTTCTGCTCAAGCCAAACAGGGCGAGGCGACTCATGGGAGGGGCATGGGTCAAGTGTCCCTCCAGCAGCCGGCTTGAGCGAGGAGAGGAAGGGGTGGGGCGAGAGACTCTTCCAGCCACGCTGCCAGGCATGCTGCCCCGTGCAGCGCAGAGGCTGACTGGGGGAGCGGCTGGGTGCGGCAGCAACAGGCTGCCCCCACCCAGGCTCAGCTCCGGGGGACAGTGGCCGAGCAAGCCGGAGCCCTCCCGCCCCTCTGGCATGCTCAGAGTCGGCTCCTGTCCCCAGAAGTCGAGCTTGGGCAGGGAGCCGTTGTCCCCTCCCCAGCCAGGCTCTCTGGTAGCCAGCTACTGCTGTGCGCAGAGCATGCGGGGGAGAAGGGCTCCGACTCGCTCAGCCGCTGTCCCGGAAGCCAAGCCCAGGCGGGAAGCAGCGCGCTGCCGCCGCACCCAGGCTCTCTCCCTGGCAGCTGCTCTGGGGCCTGGCTGCTAGGGAGAGCAGCCGAACGTGCCGCGCCGGGGTGGGGGGAGCTAGCGCAGCAGGAGGACAGAATTCCACCCTCTGGTAGCCTGCCGCGGGGCGGGGATGGGGAGAGCGCTAGGACCTCCCTGGGAGGAGTCACGTCTGGAGATCACGTGTCCTCCCCTGCAGCTGGTTTCCGCTCCCCCCCCCCCACCTGTTCGTCTCATGTATATTAATAACCAGCAAGAGTTGCTGGTGGTTAGCTTCTTTTAGTACATTAGAGAAAATTACTGATTCAAAGCAATCAGCACCTATGTAAACTACAGACGACATGGTTAATGGAAGAAACGTATAAAGCATTTTAGTTTTAATCTAAAGAATTAAACAAAACTGTTAAGTCTTTAAAATAAACCTACTGCAGAATTTCCCAGCTATTTGGGATATCACATTAAGAGAAAATGGACAGTTAAAGACAAGTTAACTATAAATTCAACTTTTTAAACTTATTTTATTTCAGATGAACTGGGAAGTGAAAATGTCAAAAGGTAACATTTATAGATGTTGCTCATTGTTTTGGCTTGTTTGCTAAAGTAGACCATGTTAATTTTTAGGGCCTTATTGTTGTGGTTTTAAACTTATTGTATGTCTTCCATGTCTTGAGAAGTCTATATTTTGCACTTTCAACACTCTTACCCTTTCTCATTAATTAACCCTAGAGGAGGCGAAAGAACCCCAAGTCCCACCAAATAATAACCACTGTTGTCTTTTGTGATTGATGTATTGTAGGGTGCATTACCTCCTGCTAACATTTGCAGGCTCCTCTGGTGATTATAGTACATCTGGCCGCCACTGTGGGACTTCTGATCCTTCAGCACATAGACTGCAGGCAGCAGAGGGAGGTGGCACCGAGCAGGGAATACAGGCTTCTGTTGGGATTATTTCAGCCACACAGGTGGAGTATGGCATAGGTGCCATGCGGCCTTTGATGCAGCCTGCCGTCTACAGCCCCACCACTTGTTTTGGGCACAAGCCACCAGTGGTTCTCTTACTGTAAATGTGGATGCTGCAGGATACAATTATACTTTGGGTAACAGGGACAAGCTTCCTGACTGTCCATAAATTCTATCTGCCCAGAATAAACTTTATGTCATGTTCAATTATTTTTCAAATTTGCTTGCTCATTATTACATGGCATGTAATGATTCTCTGGATCTTGTGTGAACTGAATAACCCATGTCCAGTAAAAACAAGCAGGCTGCAGAGTAGTTCTCATCCATCTGATAGTTGTTACCTTATTATTTATTTTACTGAGATCCTTCCTCATGGAAAGTGCTGAAAATTATTAAAATGGATTTATGCGGGGGAGGGGAGAGGAGGAGAGGGGAGATTCCCTTTAATTCAGCGGTTCTCAAACTTCATTGCACCGCAACCCCTTCTGACAACAAAAATTACTACACAACCCCAGGAGGGGGGACTGAAGCCTAAATTCTCCTGAGGCCCACTACCCTGGGTGTGGGGGCCCAACGCCCAAGCCCCACCACCTCGTGTGGGGGGGTCCAAAGCAGAAGGCCAAGGGCTTCAGTCCCAGGTTAGCAGGGTGTAACCTCAGCCCTGCTGCCAGGGCTGAAGTCCTTGGGCTTTGGCCCCGGGCCCCAGCAAGTCTAAGCCAGCCCTGATGACCCCATTAAAACAGGGTCATGACACCAAACCCCTGCTTTAACTCATGCTAAAAATACAAAATAAAGTTAGCAATAGTCTTTCAACCATGAGACTGTCTCTAAAAATGATCAGTAAAGGAAAGAGTAAATTTAATAACATGTAATTAGTATAGTTATGAACTTTTATTTTTAGGTCATTGCTGAAACCAACCTCCTGGTTGAAATAACATTTCTAACTTGGGGCTCTGTCTTGCTTCCATTGAAGCAATGGGAGTTTCACCATGGATTTCAATGGGATAGGATCAGACCCTTTATTTTGGGCCAAAGGAAATCTGATGAGGTTCAACAAGGATAAGTGCAGAGTCCTACACTTAGGACAGAAGAATTCCATGCACTTCTACAGACTAGGGACCAAGTGGCTAGGCAGCAGTTCTGCAGAAAAGGACCTAAGGGTTACAGTGGACGAGAAGCTGGATATGAGTCAACAGTGTGCCCTTGTTGCCAAGAAGGCTAACGGTATTTTAGGCTGTATAAGTAGGAGCATTGCCAGCAGATTGAGGGACGTGATCATTCCCCTCTATTCGACATTGGTGAGGCCTCATCTGGAGTACTGTGTCCAGTTTTGGGCCCCACACTACAAGAAGGATGTGGAAAAATTGGAAAGAGTCCAGCAGAGTGCAACAAAAATTATTAGGGGGCTGGAGCACATGATTTATGAGGAGAGGTTGAGGGGACTAGTCTGCAGAAGAGAAGAATGAGGGTGGATTTGATAGCTGCTTTTCATTACCTGAAAGGGGGTTCCAAAGAGGACGGATCTAGACTGTTCTCAGTGGTAGCAGATGACAGAACAAGGAGTTATGGTCTCAAGTTGCAGTGGGCAAGGTTTCGGTTGGATATTAGGAAAAACTTTCACTAGGAGGGTGGTGAAGCACTGGAATGGGTTACCTAGGGAGGTTGTGGAATCTCCTTCCTTAGAGGTTTTTAAGGTCAGACTTGACAAAGCCGTGGCTGGGATGATTTAGTTGGGGATTGGCCCTGCTTTGAGCAGGGGTTGGACTTGATGACCTCCCGAGGTCCCTTCCAACCCTGATATTCTATGATTCTCTAATTGCCTATCTAGAGTGCGTAGTTAAGATACCCATTTGTTCCATTTGCAGGCCATGATTATTTGTTTCTGACCTGTTGGGCTGATGCATCTACTCACTAGAGCAGCATTGGTATCCCACAATTAAGGCCAGAATTATACAAAATTGATACAATGCTAGTATGTTACATGTCTATTTGAGTGAAACACATTGTCTAACCCCATCTTTTGTTCCCTGGATCAAGTCCTATTTTTGAAGAAGACACACCCTCTGTTATGGAAATAGAAATGGAAGAGCTCGATAAATGGATGAATAGCATGAACAAAAATGGTACATGGTAACCCTCCAATCATTTCTCTCTTTGTCTGAGGTAGCCTCCATGAATAGAAAAAATACCAGAGCTATTTTATATTTGTGTTGCTAATTTTCCTAAAACATTTTTAGTCCTGATCTTCAGCCTACAATACCAGAATAGTTGCACAAGAAATATCAGGAGTATTTAGGCTGGCTAGGTGCTTATTTTTATCAAATGATGGATATAGATATAATATATAATATCATAAAAGGTTTCAGTTTTCAGTAGACACTTTTATTAAACACGTGTACTGTATTTATATTTTTAAATAAAAATTGCTTTTTAGGGGTGCATACTTGTCTCTTTAAAAGATCTGGCTTTCTCAGTATTCAGTGTGTCTGCACTAGTGTGTTGCATATTGTGCATTCTAAGAGAAATCACTGTTTACTCATAGCCCTTAGCACTAGTTAGTCATTACACTGTTGCCAGGATTATCTTCCTGGCTCATCACTATGACTACATCACCCCCCTTTGCATCCTTCCACTGGCTCCTTATCGTCTACTGCATCAAACACGAGCTCCTTCTTTTTGCCTTTTAGGCCCTTCACCATTTAGATTCACCTTATCTGTCAGAAATACTGCTTATCAAGCTGTCAGCCTCCACCTTTGCTCTGCCATTAATGGCAGCCTTAATTTATCCCTGATCCACTTCTCCCTGAAGCACCTCTGTGCTTTCTCCCAGGCTGCCCCTGGTGCATGAGAAGAGCTCCCCAGTCAAAATTCTCAAACGTGTCACCTAAGCTGCCTTCAAGTCAGTTCTCAAAACTCACCTCTTCCTTAATGCACAGAGTTAACTGCAACCTGATTACACCTACACAGGTGGCACAATGTGATTACTACTCCAGACTGGCTAAGAATTGCACATAGTCTAATCTTTTGGTTGCCTTACCCCATGCCCCAAAATGCTCGTTTGCTTCATCCCCCTATTATATCTAGTCTTTCAGGTGGTAAGCTCTTTTGGTAGACACCTGTCAATTCCTGTAGGTCTGTACAGTGTTTAGCAGGATGGTCCTCGGACCTTGTTAGTCTGTAGACACTACCACAATATAAACATTAAACAATAATAATAATAACATTAAATATGTCAATTGCTTTAAATATAGTAGATGGGGAAATATTTATTGTAAAAAGATGTTCACATTTTAAAAAGTCAGCAAACATTTCACATATTTCTGCAGCAGCAGCACCACATACAAAAATACCCCAAACTGCTGGCTGCACTAATCTTGTGAAATAACAGATGTGAATGTAAACAGTTGTATTGTGAATAGATAACAAATAATCCTTGTAGTCTGAGTTTATGGCAAAGATGCATGTGGACAAGGAAAGGCACTTTCTATGTGTATACATACATATACACACACAAACAACTGAAATAAATGTCATAAAGGTTACCAGGACTTCAAATACAGCCACAAGGGCAGGACACTTTAAAATAGCTGATAATTATATCAAACAAAATCATAAATGTGAAAATATTACAGATAAAAAGAACTATATCTGTACCCTGGAGTTTTCTGGTTCGCAGTCCCCACTCTGAAAATGAACACAATTTTGAAATGTTTGAAAGAATCACCAAAGGTAACAGTGTGGTTGTCTTTTCTCTTCTAGCTGAAGGTGAATGTTTACCTACTGTAAAAGAAGAAGAAAAGGAATCAAATGTCTTCACAAGGTACTTTTAATTCTACCATTGTATTACTCAAAGAAACACTATCAACATTAGTACTTGGAAAATGTGATCTACTTTTTTCTTCTTTGTCTACTTCTAACATATATTTATTTATTATGGACTTTGATTTCTCTTCAGACAAATGCCTCAATGCTCTTATCTTTAAAAAAAAAAAAAGTGTCTACTTGTATCTTTGCACCCACAGAAAACCCTGCAGTAAAAAGCCTATGTGTGAGAGAGAGAGAGAGATGGAGCAAACTGAATTTCATTAGTTGATCAGATTTTAATTGCCATTTCCCTGTTAATATGAGCATTGAAAAATCCGTTGTTTGTGAGCTGTCAAAAAGAAAGGTCAATCAGCTTAAGAAAAAAAATTGAGTCTCATCTTCTACCACGAGGTGGCTCTACTTGACTGAGAATGACTATCACACTTTTTGGCTTGTGTAAACAATTATTATATTTTGCATGTAGTTACTAAGATCAGTTATTATGAGATAATAATATACAACTCATTTGTCTGCAGTAACTATACTATCCTGGGCTCTGAGTTTGTCCAATCTCACAAGCCAAGTAGGATCAAGCCTGCCAAATCAATAGCTTGACAGACCTTAAAAGAAAACCAGCAATGCAGTAGAAATGGTTTTGTTGCTTCAGGAGGTGAGACTCTCCCCTCAAAGTCAATACTGAGTTAATCTCCTACATGGTATTAAGGGGAGGAGGGAAACACTGTGCTGCTTTCATTCAGATTAGATTTAAAAATCAAAATCCTGATGGCTTGGTAGAAAGTAAAATTCTCTTGACAGTTTTCACAAGGGTAAGGGCATGAACCCTGGTATCCTGAATAAACTGGCCATTCAGTTCTGCCTACCTAAAATTGCTCCTATTCTTCAATTCGCTCCTATTGGCTTCAATTGCTCCTATTCTTCACTTCTTGTCATGCTCCTGCATTCCCACCATAGAGGTGGCTGCATTTCAGTGGTAGGTGAAGTAGTTAATCTCTCTAATAGATATATAATGATGAACAATGACACAAGCACAAACAATTCCGCATAGATGCCATGTCAGTAGTTCCAGATGCCATGGGGTGGTTCCAGTAGAAAAGAGTTGCCAAGAAACCAGCTGGGGAAAGGGTACTGGGGCCCGTTAGGCCACACTACCCCTTCTCATGGGTGTTCTCAGCCTCCACAGATTCCTAGGGATCCAGCATCTTTGGGGTGGAGCCCATGAACTCTTTGGTGGGGAAGCAAATTCTATGCTTGCAGATGAGATGCTGGAGGGGGTGAGGCATGGAGGAAGGGAGAAATTCTCCTGGAGATTTCTTCTCCCAGAGCCCTATTCCAGGGAGATCATCATGGCAGATGACGAGCTAAACTAAGGTTACTTCTTCATAATGTGAGTGCAAGCAACTAGTATCAAAGGGCATTTTTAGAGATTCATAGATATTAAGGTCAGAAGGGACCATTATGATTATCTAGTCTGACCTCCTACACAATGCAGGCCACAGAATCTCACCCACCCACTCCTGCAATAAATCTCTCACCTATGTCTGAGCTATTGAAGTCCTCAAATCGTGGTTTAAAGACTTCAAGGTGCAGAGAATCCTCCAGCAAGTGACCTGTGCCCCATGCTGCAGAGGAAGGCAAAAAACCCTCAGGGCCTCTTCCAATCTGCCCTGGAGGAAAATTCCTTCCCAACCCCAAATATGGCGATCAGTTGAACCCTGAGCATGTGGGCAAGATTCATCAGCCAGATACCCAGGAAAGAATTCTCTGTAGTAACTCAGATCCCACCCCATCTAACATCCCATCACAGGCCATTGGGCCTATTTATCATGAATATTTAAAGATCAGTTAATTGCCAAAATCATGTTATCCCATCATACCATCTCCTCCATAAACTTATTGAGTTTAATCTTGAAGCCAGATAGGTCTTTTGCCCCCGCTGCTTCCCTTGGAAGGCTGTTCCAGAACTTCACTCATCTGTTGGTTAGAAACCTTTGTCTAATTTCAAGTCTAAACTTCCAGATGGCCAGTTTATATCCATTTGTTCTTGTGTCCACATTGGTACTGAACTTAAATAATTCCTCTCCCTCTCTGGTATTTATCCCTCTGATATATTTATAGAGAGCAGTCATATCTCCCCGTCAGCCTTCTTTTGGTTAGGCTAAACAAGCCAAGCTCCTTGAGTCTCCTTTCATAAAACAGGTTTTCCATTCCTCGGATCATCCTAGTAGCCCTTCTCTGTACCTGTTCCAGTTTGAATTCATCCTTCTTAAACATGGGAGTCCAGAACTGCACATAATATTCCAGATGAGGTTTCACCAGTGCCTTGTATAACGGTACTAACACCTCCTTATCTCTACTGGAAATACCTCGCCTGATGCATCCCAAGACCGCATTAGCTTTTTTCATGGCCATATCACATTGGCGGCTCATAGTCATCCTGTGATCAACCAAAACTCCGAGGTCCTTTGCCTCCTCTGTTACTTCCAACTGATGCATCCCCAGCTTATAACTAAAATTCTTGTTATTAATCCCTAAATGCTGACCTTACACTTCTCACTATTAAATTTCATCCTATTACTATTACTCCAGTTTACAAAGTCATCCAAATCCTCCTGTATGATATCCCAGTCCTTCTCTAAATTGGCTATACCTTCTAGCTTTGTATCATCTGCAAACTTTATTAGCACACTCCCACTTTTTGTGCCGAGGTCAGTAATAAAAAGATTCAATAAGATTGGTCCCAAAACAGATCCCTGAGGAACTCCACTGGTAACCTCCCTCTAGCTTGACAGTTCACCTTTCAGTATGACCCGCTGTAGTCTCCCCTTTAACCAATTCCTTATCCACCTTTCAATTTTCATATTGATCCCCACCTTTTCCAATTTAACTAATAATTCTCCATGTGGAACCATATCAAACGCCTTACTGAAATCTAGGTAAATTAGATCCACTGTGTTTCCTTTGTCTAAAAAAATCTGTTACTTTCTCAAAGAAGGAGATCAGGTTGGTTTGGCATGATCTACCTTCTGTAAAACCATGTTGTATTTTGTCCCATTTACCATTGACCTCAATGTCCTTAACTACTTTCTCCTTCAAATTTTTTTCCCAAGACCTTGCATACTACAGATGTCAAACTAACAGGCCTTTAGTTACCCGGATCACTTTTTTCCCCCCTTTCTTAAAAATAGGACCTATGTTAGCAATTCTCTAGTCATACAGTACAACCCCTGAGTTTACAGATTCATTAAAAATTCTTGCTAATGAGCTTGCAATTTCATGTGCCAATTCCTTTAGTATTCTTGGATGAAGATTATCTGGGCCCCCTGATTTAGTCCCATTAAGCTGTTTGAGTTTTGCTTCTACCTTAGATATGGTAATATCTACCTCCATATCCTCATTCCCTTTTGTCATACTACCATTATTCCTAAGAGCCTCATTAAAGACTGAGGCAAAGTATTTGTTTAGATATTGGGCCATGCCTAGATTATCCTTAACCTCTACTCCATCCTCAGTGTTTAGCGGTCTCACTTCTTTCTTGGTTTTCTTCTTATTTATATGGCTATAGAACCTTTTACTATTGGTTTCATTCCCTTTGCAAGGTCCAACTCTACATGGCTTTTGGCCTTTCTCACTTTATCCCTACATGTTCTGACCTCAGTAAGGTAGCTTTCCTTGCTAATCCCTCCCATCTTCCACTCTGCTTTTTCTTAATCACCTCTCTGAGATGCTTGCTCATCCAGCTTGGTCTACAACTCCTGCCTATGATTTTTTCCCCCTTTCTTGGGATGCAGGTTTCCGATAGCTTCTGCAGCTTTGACTTGAAGTAATCCCAGGCCTCCTCTGCCTTTAGATCCATAAATTCTTCAGTCCAATCCACTTCCCTAACTAATTTCCTTAATTTTTGAAAGTCAGCCCTTTTGAAATCAAAAACCGTAGTCACAGATTTATTTTTGTTTATCCTTCCATTCGGTTTGAACTGCATTAGCTCATGATCACTTGAACCAAGGTTGTCCCCTACAACCATTTCTTCTATGGAGGTCCTCACTACTCACCAAAACCAAAACTAAAATGGCATCCCCTCTTGTCGGTTCAGCAACTACTTGATGAAGAAATCCATCAGCTATCGCATCTAGGAAAATCTGAGCCCTATTATTATTACTAGCACTTGTCCTCCAGTCTATATCTGGGAAGTTAGTCTCCCATGATCATGCAGTTTTCATTAGTATTTACTTCATTAAAAACATTAAAGAGGGCTCTATCCAGATCCAAATTAGATCCCGGCGGTCTATAGCACACTCCAAGCACTATGACGGGGAGGCTCTAGTAGTTTTCTTCCCCAATGTAATTTTTGCCCAGATGGACTCTGTCTTATCCATTCCATCGCTTCTGATTTCTTTACATTCTACTTCATCATTGATATACAATGCTATGCCACCACCTTTGCCTTTATTTCTGTCTTTCCTAAACAGCATATACCCTTCAATACCTGTAGTCCAGTCATGACTACTATTCCACCATGTTTCTGTTATCCCTACAATATCTGGTTTCACTTCCTGCACCAGTAGCTCTAGTTCCTCCATTTTGTTACCTAGGCTCCTTGCATTGGTGTACAAACATCTTAATTTTTGCTTTTTGGCCTCGCTCACATTCTTTACCCAATTAGGCACGGACATTCTACAGCCAGTACGGCCTATTAGACTGGTATCCACACTGCCCTTTCTCCTTATGTCCATTCTCCTACCCACGGCTGTATCCTTTCTTACTTTGTTTTCTTCCCTCTTAATGTTAAAATCCAGCGTGGAGATTACCTGGACATCTCCCCCAAATTCCTAGTTTAAAGCTCTCTTAATCAGTTGTGCCAGCCTCCACCCTAGAAGTCTATTTCCTTCCCTACTCAGATGAAGTTCATCCCGAGAGAACTGTCCTCTGTCCATGAATGCCTCCCAGTGGCCATACATTCCAAAGCCCTCCTTACAGCACCACTGCCTGAGCCATCTGTTGATAGTCATAATCTTGTCACACCTTTGTTGCCCTTCTCTAGGAACAGGCACAATCCCACTGAAGATCACCTGAGCCTTGATTTCCTTAAGCATCTTCCCCAGCCTGGCAGAGTCTCCCTTGATACGTTCCAGTGAGAATCTACCGGTATCATTTGTTCATTGATCTACCGGTATCATTTGATGGTCAGTGGATTCTTTCCTGCTCCCTTTAAGATCCTCTTCAACCTCAGGTCCACATCCTATATCTTAGCACCTGGTAGACAGCACACCCTTCTATTCTCTGGATCAGCTCTGGTTACAGGCCTGTCCATTCTTCTCAGTAATGAGTCCCCGATCACGTAGACCTGCCTTTTCCTGCTGACGGTGCGATTCTCTGGTCTATCCCCTGTTCCCTCTGGCTGTAAGTTCTTTCCATTCCTATTCTCCCTTGTAATCCTCTTCAACCCATGCTGTATCCTCCTGGGGCTCATACTTGGTGTAGTCTCCATTAACTCTTCCCCTTTTCCTATAGGGCTAGCCGCTCTTCTCTTCTTCCTTGCTCTTCCACCTTCAGTGACCACCTGCTGAGCCCCTTCTTCATTTTCCAACTCTGCAAACCTGTTCTTGAGCTCTATTTCTCCTTCACTAGCCTGTCTTTTCCTCTGCCTGGTTCTCTTAGTCACATGCTTCCACTGTCCGTTTTCTTCACCCAGCAGTCCCCCTCAGAGTTCTTCGGTCCTGCTTCCATCTGTAAGTCTGAGCTTTTCCCTTCAGCTGCCTCATGTCTTTGCTCCATAATCTGCTCGAACCCCCTTCTAAACTCAACCAGACTTTCCACCTGTATCTCCACTCCTCGGATCTTTTCTTCCATAAGCTCTATCAGACGGCACTTCATGCAGACGAAACTCTTTCCAGGTACCCCCTCCAGGACCATGTACATACCACAGCTTCCACATCCAGTCATCTTCATTGTGTCTTCCACTACTTGGGTCACTCCCACTGCTGCCTCTGTATCTGTCATAGCCTTCCCACCTAAATCCTGTTAATCTGGGAAACACAAACCACTCCAAAACACTACCACCCACAGCAAAAACAAACCCCGAACAAGCACCACAATACAAACTCCCCTTTCAGACTCTCACTTACACTCCCCCGTTTACAGCTCTGTTTGCTGGCTCCTGTCCCGCTGCAGCTGTCTGGTATAAGTTGTATTGGTCACATGCCTGGTGAGCAAATGGTGTGATATATGAAGGGAGGAAGAGGTGTTTGGTTAATATTTACATGGTGCCTTGAAATGCACACCAAGAGCAAACTGCAGTGTTTGTGTGATCCTGTCTCCCCAACTGAGGAAGTTACTATCCAAACCTCCCACCAGGATTGTGTTCCAAACCCATTCTTGTTTAGGCTCATTTAAAACCCCATACCCATAAACTTTAGTTAAAATAATATATAGAACCTTGTAGGGTTAAGTTTTGTTTCTGCTGCACTCTACTTCCACATCTGATCCTGCATGAAAAGATGAAAATTGACAGTGGAGACAGGAAGTCATCTGGATTCTGAAAAATATTTTTAAGAGAAGAAAACAGAAAAGCTTAGATGATGGGAGATGGGTCATAAGAAGGAAAGCATCAGATCCATGAGCAGGTCACACTCAGGGATCAGACTGGGGTTGGGGTAAGAGTTGCAGCCTACCCTCCGTCCACCAAATGAGAAGCCATTTATAGTAGATAGCGTAGATCTTCCTAATATGATCATCTGTTTCTTTCATGCCTTGATCAGTGAAATAGTTGTATTGACAATACATCATTAGCCTCAGAGTTTACTCAGGTAGTTCACAATTCTCTCAAAGCTGTTGTTTCAGGATGTCTGCAGACTCATGCAGATACCACTGCATCTGTTTGCATTTGAAGAAGTTTCCTTTACAACTATCAAGACAAGAGAAATTACTCTTTTAAAAAGTGAAAGCTTGATTCTGGATCCAAGATGCAACCACTAGCAATCAGACTGTGAAAAAGTATGTGTAATAGCCTTCCTGTTTCTCTGTTCCTTCCTGTGTATAAGCCCATCATGATGACAGATAAAGAAGGGGGGAGCAGAACTGAGAAACTATGGATTGTAAAGATAACTACACACCCTTTCTCTAAAAGTTAGATTTATCGTAAGTCTTTGCTTGCCCAGACTATAGCTTGAATTAACAAGTAGAATAAGACCAAGAATTTCTTAAACACCTGCTAATACCAATACTGGAAGTAAAAACAATGTAAAGTCATTGTGGCACCGTAGAGACTAAAAATTGGAAGTGTTGCTGCAAAAGCCATTTTTAAGGCACAACATTCCCTAGTATTAATTTTGTGCTCTGAAATTACATAGCTATTGAATTACAACTCTTGGCATTTTCTTAAGTGTTCATTTTCAAAAGTATCAGCTTGACCTACTAATTTGATTTGATATTTTATTACCATAGGTCTAGTTAGGATGGTCTTGTAGCTAAAAAAAACAAACAAGAATCTGAGGCTATGTCTACCCTGCCCCACGGTTCAGACTGGGGAGTGTGTGAACACAGTGCTTGCCACAGTGCTGCACTGTAACTTCCCCATGTGATGCTGCAAGCACAAACTAAAAATGTTCCTAATTTGCATGAATGTAGTCCTGTCTGACAAGGACTATACTAGGAATGTTTCAGTTCATTGCCACAAATCTACATAGGGAAGTTACAACACAGCACTTTGATGCGAACTCTTATGCACACCCCTGTATTCCAAATTGTGGGGCAGTGTAGACAAACTGCATGTCAGGAGAGCTGGGTTCTTTCCGGGCTAGACCCCAAATTTCCTCTGTGATTTTGGTCAAGATGTCTTTGGGCCAGTCACTGCCTCAGTTTCCCCATCTATAAAATGAGGATATTGCTACTTCACAGTTATGAGGCTTAGGCCTTAAGTCAGGAAAACATCCCTATTCAGGAAAGCACTTAAGCACACATAAGCATGTACTTACATGCCATTGAAGTCAACAGGAAGTTAGGCACTTTCATTAAAGCATTCCTTAATTGTGATCTGAGGGTTTTTCTTAATGTTTGTAAGACACCTTGATGCTCAGTTGAGGGGTATTGTTGAAATGCAAAGTGTTATGACTGATTCTTTTAAAATTTAGTTCCAAATTCAGGAAGACAGGCTCATTTAGGCAGATTTTTAAAAGAATTATGTAACTATTTTTTTTAGATTTAATGCTAAATAGTTCTGCAATGCAGGGAATCTTAGCCAACTTTTCAATGCCTTCTTGAACAGAAGTGGTGATATTTTTGGTCAGGTTTTTTGTTTTTGTTTTTTGTTTTTTTGGTGAAAATTCCACTTTCATCAAAGTCCAAATGTTCTGAAAAATGGTGTGATTTCAACTACATTTTGTTTTGAAAAAAATTATATGAAGCATTTTTGATCATGCTGAAAAAGCCATTTCAACATTTTTGGAACAGACCATTTCAATTTTTCAATTTGAAAGAATTTTTTCAAACAAAATTCATTGTTTTTATATTTAAAACACTTTAAAATGTCAAAATCAGAACTAAACGCTAAGATTCACCCAAAACTACATTTTTTCAGAGTTTTCTTTTGTGGGAAATTTCTAAATGTTTTGGTTGTGTTCCATTTTGGAGTAGAAATCAAAATCGTGGAATTCTTGCAAAAAGAAAAAAGAAAAAGAAAAGAAAAGAAAAAATCTGGTTCCCCACCCAGCTCTATTACCAAACAGACATGTTTTGCTGACAATGCCTCCTGGGTCACATAAACAGAAGAAAGAAAAATACATAGAACTGTTAACAGATCATTTGAGGAAGTGTGTTATTAAAGTCAAATAAATGATTTAAAACAGCAATTATTAAATTTAAAAAATCCTGTTAATCCAGCATTAGGGTTATAGATTTCAGCACACAAGGCAGGAAATTACAGTACACTCAGGAGCTGCTAGCCTATGCTGAATTCTGCACCACTACGACTTCAATACTGCTGTTACCCATGCTAGCTAGAATCCAATTTAGCACAGGTATCCCCAGCCATGCTGCAATCACAACTTCACTTGCAGTGTAGACATATCCTAAGTAACAGAAAAGTCTTTGTGTGTTACCATAAACAAAACAGGTTATTGGAAAAAATACCAGAGAGTAAATTATTTACGTGGAAACAACAGGGACAGAAGGGGGGGGGGGGCAGAAAAGGAAACAATTTGATATAAGAATGGATTTAAAAAACATTCCATGTGGTTCTCATAGCACAGAAGCTGGGGTGGGTGGGTCAGGGGGAAAATATGATTTGTCAGGGTTTGCCTGGAAACAGGAGAGAGCTTTCATTGAATAGTCTCCTTAGACAACAGAGAAATCAAATCAGCCCCACTCATGCTGCCTGGTATCACAAATATGTTCATTTCATGGAATCTATGGCCTGTGTTTATTTTCAGTCCACAAGATCATCATTACAATCCACCGTCCCACTACCACTGAATAAACTTCACTGGAAAACTATAGTGACAAGTTGTTTCTCTCTTTAATACATATACAGGGACTGCAAATCATGAAGTCCAAACAGCACTGAACTGGTTAAAGGGAAGCTGTGCACAAGGCTCATAGTCCTATCCTGCAGATATGAGATGAACTGGATGTGAACTTAATTAGTCTCAAACAGTGAGAGAAGCAAATGCGTTTATTGTTTCCTGTTGCATGCATTCTTTGTAATGGAGGCATCACTAATAAAAACAAGAAAATGCATTACAGTAAGATTAAGGTCTGATTTAAACTTGCATTGCAATGAAATTTCAGCATTAATATAGCAAGAACAGTCCTATTTCTGAAGGGCTTCAGAACAGTCCTCGTTCCACCTTATCCTCTATCTGTGTGTGGCTGTGATATGTATGACCGCTCATGTACCAGAGTTCCTCCATAAAGTATCACTGTAGCCTTAACTCTCAATTTCCTTGTGTTAGTGCTAAATTCATAATCTTGTATTTTTGGGGGGTATATAATTTACTTTTTTTGTAATGGTGGAATAATTTGTTTTGGATTTCCATTGATGAAGTAAAAGGCTGTGACTGTCAGAAAAGATTTGATGTCCACTAAAAAATTAAACTGCTGAAAGCTACAGCATGGAGGATGTTCCTTAAGGCTAACTGCAGCCCCAAAGGAGGACCTAAGGTTTGTCAAATGTTTTGACATTCCCAGGAAAAAGGAACTATAGAAGTGGAAAGTTTTATTTAAAGATTTCCTCTCAGCTGTTGAACCGTAGTCCCTCCAGATACTCTGAGCTGTTCTTTCAGCTCTTCTCTCAACTCAGGGCTATTTTCTAATAATAATGAACTCTAGGGATTTTCAGTTTAAGGTACTTTGGTATTCATCCTGCTTTTCACTGAAACAACTTGATACCAGCCTGTTCTGAACATATGCATCTGAAACTGCCTGGCTAAGATTTTCAGAAGTAACAAGTTGATTCAGATGCCTCAATTTTTGGATACCTAACTTGAGACACCTTCAAGGGGGAATTGCTAAAGGGTGGATGCTCAATACTTTCTAAAAATCAGGCCTCTTACAGATGCCAGAAGTTGGGCACCCAAATATTGTGGAACCCCCCCTCCCCCCCAAAAAAATCACCAGCCTCTTTTTTGAAAATCATGACTTTTTTTTTTAATATGTAACAAACGTGTGGAACTGAATGTTAGTTAATGTAGGTTTTTGTCCTATATTTAAAACATTAACGTCAAGTCCTAGCTAAATTTACTTTCTACAGTATATTATTTCATACCTGGGCAATATATTTTTGAGAAGTGTGCCCAATTTTGTTTTGGGCGCAACTACTTTAAAAATATTTTTCCACACACAGGTTTTTTTTTTTGTTTTTGTTTTAAGTGAGGGTATCATCTAACCCTCACCAACCACCAACATTTCAGGGGGTAAGCAACTCGAACAATATGAGTAACTTGCAGTGAAGAATTTTTGCTCTTTACATTCTCAGATTGCCTTCTTGAATTTATTCCTTGCTTAAATGAACAATTTTTACAAAGAGTATTTGGTCTGTACATTGTTCCCAAATAATTAATTGCAAGTATTCAGCCACTGAGCTGTGGGGACTTCATTTTCCCTGACTGGATGAGTTTAACTTTGAGAATCAGGTTTAGGAGTTCAAAATTAGTTTTTCACAAAAATTCTCCAACATTTCCTAAATCTCTTGACAGTAAATTTGTTCAGTAGAATATTTATCAAAAACAACAAACATGACAAATTAAGCTGAAGCAATTTTATTCTCAGGAACATTGTTTGTAGTATTTGATCAACTGTTAGCAACTTAGTAAACTAGAACATGGATAAGGAGTACTTGTGGCACCTTAGAGACTAACAAATTATTTGAGCATAAGCTTTCATGAGCTACAGCTCACTTCATGGGATGCATTCAGTGGAAAATACAGAGGGGAGATTTATATACATAGAAAACATGAAACAATGGGTGTTACCAACAATTTGTTAGTCTCTAAGGTGCCACAAGTACTCCTTTTCTTTTTCGAATACAGACTAACACGGCTGCTACTCTGAAAATATAACATGGATGTTACTCTGGCATTTTTCACTCCTTGCAAAGAGTAATTCTGAAGACAGCACAAAAGTAGGATGATTCCTAGAAGAGAATGTGGTATAAGATGTATATTGACAGTTGTAAGACCTGTAGAGTTCTATGACAGTCAGTTCCAGTCTAACATTTTTAGAGCAAGGGCAAGCATTGACTAGACTGCTCTACCTTCTTCATTTCCCATCAATCCCTTTCTTCTCCTCCCCCCATTTCCTGTCTTCCCCATTCCATGACACTCCTGTCACTCACCCCTTTCTCCTTCTTCCTGTTTGAGCTCATGCCATCCATCCTTTCCTTATGTGGCTGTCATCAGTATCTGTCTCACTCTTTTCCTCTCATCTCAATTCCTCGTCTCAAACCTAGGAGACTTCAGCTTCCCGACTGATAACTTATCCAGCTTCTCCACAGCT